GCCATCATCCACAGCCATCGTTTGCCACAGTTGCCTAACAGGCCACTGCTCTTCTTAGCAAGTGTCCTGACATTAATGGAGACTCAACAAGAAAGTGACCAAAATTCATGAGAGCCTCCAAAAAATCAGCAACACCAGCCCTGCCAGCACATCTGGTATTTCAATAAATAGTATTTATAGGTGGTGATCAGAGCCCTCCTAACTACACATGCATGTCATGCCTACTTCAGTGTAACACTCTGTGTGGAAGGACAGTTCCACTTCCTGAAGACAATTTACTTTGCTTGTGGTTTGTATTCTTTAGGCAGTTAATGTTTAGAAGTATCGAGAGACTCTACCAATTGGTTTTTTGTTTTCCTACTCTAATAATCCCCAAATTTCAGGAAGAATTTGGTAATTTCAGAGATTATTCATACTTCCAAATGCTTAGGCATTCCTAATTATAACCACAAGACAGAGTTAAATGAATGTATAACATGAATATATTTAATTAATATATTTAATATTAAAATATATAGCATATAATATATATTTTATATTTAATTAAAATCTTCATTTCCACTGGTCCTCTGCTTTATTCTACAGTAGACCCTTGTCACTCACAGACTAAATATGTTTTGTTTCAATGATTTGAGAAGATCTGTATCTTCAAGCTTAGGAATGTTTCATGAAACTACCTACAAAATCTCTATCAAGTGTCTTGCTGGTACCTAAAACTCAACCTCCCCTAAACCAGTATTTTGATGTCCCTTTCTGCCTTCACCATCCTCACCCTCAGACTTCCACATTTCTGAAAATGGTGTCCTCCTCCACCAGTTGCTAGAGCCTGTGTGTTACCCCTGCTTCCTTCCTTCACCAACGTGGTCATATTCGATCATAAGGCCTGGGCTCTTATATTTTAAGCAGCTCTTGAATTCCTATTTCACTTCTTGCTATATTCCCCTTGTCTCAACTTGAGCCTAAGCTGTCCTCATTTTCTTGGGTGATGGTGACAATGGACTAACAGCCTCCCCGATGCACTGTTGCATGATTCTTTCTCCCTTTTCTACAATGCAGCCAGAGTAACCTTTTAAAAATGGAAATCTCATCAGGTCATTCCCTTTCTAAAGCCTGCTAGTGACTTCCATTGTCCTGCAGACAGAACCTTTGACTGTGATCTCTGGGCCCTTCAGGATCAGGCTCTCCTCACCTCTCCAGCCTCCACTTGGGTCACTTCCTGCAGCCTTCACCCTTGAGCCACACCGGGCTGAATTCTCCACACTTGCTCATCCCCAAGCATATTACACTTTCTCCTCTCCTTGCCTGGAAAGCCTTTGCCTCTTATACTTTGCACAGATCTTAAGTAGTGCTTCCTCAGGGAGGTCTTTCCTGATGTCCGGGGCCAGCGTAGTTCTCTAGTTCCCACAAAACTCTCTTTCATAGCAGTATCCCAATTGTAATTACATGTTTCAAATAGGTCTTCACAGGAAAGGTGTTTTCTCCATGGGAAGGGACTGTCTGCCCCATTCCCTGTCCCCAAGGCCTAGCATAATTATTACATATTCAGGAAGTAGTTAAAAAAACACAAATCAGATGAGTTGGGGTATAGGCAAGGGTGAAACCAAGTCTTATAGAGCCTGAGGGTTATACAGTGTTGGGGACCTCTTTAAGAATAATAATACTTAGTTAGTTATGAAAGTGAAGATGTACTTAAAACGATAATAGAAATCATGACAACCTACTGGATCTTAGATGATTTAAACTTTTTTTCTTTTGAGGCATCTTTAAGCAGTTTCTATAAAATGCTTTCAGAGAAATGCTACCTAATTGTAACCTGGCTTCTCCCTGCACCCAGAACTTTCCACTACTCCTGAGGACCCTAACATTTACAAAGTCCTGAAGCTTCATGGTCAGTCTGCCTTTGAATGTGTCCATCAAACAAATGAACAAGCCCAACTGGCTACTAAGTGTTCAGGTCTCATGGTGGTATTTTTGTTCATTTCATGGATGGATCCTTTCTTATTTAAAGTGTCCTCAGATTGCTGATGCAGAAATATGGAAATCGTGCTATATTGTCACTTGCAAATTTAGAAACTTGGAAATTCTTTTATTTTCATAAATGTCAAAAGTCTACTGTTAACAAGGTGTTTCTAATTTTCACCCTCCTATAATACTTGCCATTTAAAAAAAAAAGTCTTATCTCATCTCTCTCACTATACAGGGGAAAGGTTGCTTTCTGAAATAGATCTAACGTGTTTCCCACTTACACAGGTTTGGGTTTTCAACATTTCCTACAGATGGTTTGTAATCAGGCTGCCAAACGAATGTAATGGCTCCTAAGGAAGTTAGGCTTCCGACTTTGCTCAGTCTGTTTGCTGGGAGCTTCTCAGATGGCTGGGAAGAGGCTCCCAGGGGAGAATGTCAAGCAGAGGTCACGCTCTGCACAGACAACAACCAAACAGGCCACAGGGATCAGATGAGAACTGGCAATACCCTTATCAAGTCTTCACTCTCAGGCTTGGCAGTCAAGCAAATCTCCCAGCTATGTCAGCTTGTGGTAGTGAGCATGAGTCAAATTTAAAATTATTAGAGCTATTTATAATATAATATCTTGCAACTCCATAACATTTATAGTTTACCAAATACTTTTATATACAGTCAGTGTGCCAGGCAGTATAACATAATTATATGATCTCCATTTAATAATTATGCATACTACCACTTACTGTGTGTGAGGTAACACTTGAATTAACTACTACTGTATTACCTCCATTTTACAAGGAATAAAAATGGATTTTGAGGTTCTGAAAGGTTAGAAAAAAATCTCCATACGTATGCTCAGCTAGTAAATGGTGGGTATAGTTATATTCTATAAGTCCAAACTGCTTCTCACATTGAGGTCTACTAGTTTGTCATTTCAAAATGTACCAAAGTGAAAGACAGATGGGATGAAAGACAGAGATTTATAATAGAGCATCTAATGTTTTACCTTGTGTATAGTAGGTCTTATTACCATTTGTTGATCTGATTCAACATGTAAAAATGAGTCCCATGTAAGCAAATAAAAAGATAAACTGATAATGTTACGACTGCAAAGACAAAAAAATGATTTCCAGGAAAAGAAATGGAGAAACAAATGGCTGAATTTTATCAATCAGGTTTTTTTATCTTATACAGCAGGTTACCAATATGGAATTCCACTTATGGAACAGGAACATTTGGGATACATCACCTGAAGTTCTAATAAAGGAAATTTCACTTGGGGTGGACTAGAAGGTCTTTCATTCATTTTAGCAGCTACCTTAGCTGCAACCCCAAGTGTTGGTGTTACGGTTTTGAACAGAGTTGCTCACTATGGTATTAGGAAGAATGATGGGAAGGGCGAGAGACCAAGACATGAGTCTTTTCCTTGGGATGGCTCCCTCCTCAGGTTCATGATGACTGTCACTTTAGAAAGCCCAAGTCCTGCAGGGAAATGGGACCCTAAAGGTTAGACAAGCTTGAATCCTGTGGTGAAGGGGGGTAGAAATGTAAAGTCAATATCAGAGGACAGAAATATGGGGACTCTGTGCCAGATAATGGGACAGTTAGTGCTTAAAAGCTGGTATCTGCTTACTGAGCTTTCTCATTTGCAATTTTATCATGAAAATCAAGGGCACTGTCTTTTCGCACAGACTCACAGCTCCTAACTGACCTGTACTTCCACAGTTCCCCTGTGTTTTCGAGATGCATGGCCTCTGGAGTATTTGCCTTCTCTGATTTTCTGCCTGGCTCTCCTCCCTTTCTCCTAGTTCTCCTTTCTACTGCATCCTCAGGGAATATGAGCTAGTTTTCAGTGTTTCAAAAGACTCATCCTACTAGTTATATGATCCTTTGCCAATTCATGCCTTTAACAGTACTGGAAACTCACTTTTAAAAACAATCTATATGTTTTCATGTATTTGTTTTTTAAATTTAAAAAAACGGAAAAGTTATAATACAACCAGCATGAAGATGTCAGAGGCTGGCAGAGCAAGCTGCATCTCTCTGGGTTTGTTACCAAAAGTTCGGTACTTGTCTCTGCAGCCAGGACGGGTGGTTTGAGGAGAAGGAAAGAGGAGTTTATTAATATACCAGCAAATGAAGAGGATTGCAGACTCTATCTTAAAGTACCAATGTCCTATCTATAAGCAGAAATGCAGAGCTTTTAAAAGGAATTTTCAGCTTTGGGATATTGCTGTTTCACTATACCACTCTGGTGAAGACAATCTCCTGATTTCTGCCTGGACAATTCCATCGAGCCATCTCCAGTGGTACGAAGAATAAAGGACACTCCCCTGCCCTCTGATTACTGGCTTTGGTTAGGAACGTGGGTTTTAATTCCCAAAAATATTTGGGGATGGATTGAAAGGGACAACTTGTAATACAGTTTGACCTTTTTCAGGCCCTTATTTCTGTTATAGGTTGAGGTCCAGAAAGATCAGTGAAGGCAGCAAGTTTTGTGTTGCCCTTGAAGCCTGTGTCATCATCTGCTCTTACTGGTCTTATCAGCAGGACAAAACTAATAAATCATGTGCTGCTAGCACAAGAACCAAATGCTTTCCTCGGAGCCAGATTCTGTTGTTTTGCTGGGCCACCCAGCGAGGTTGCAAACATGGCATCACTGCCAGTGAGAGATGTGCTCCTCCTATTCTTTTCTTTAGGGTGACTTACTGAGATATAATTTACACACCACACAACTCACCCACCTTGACTGTAAAGTTCAATGATTTTTTTAATAAGTGGCTTTACCAAGTTATGTAACTATCACCACAAACCAATTTTAGAATATTTCTGTTACCTCAAAGGGATTCCTTGTCCCCACCCTCCAGACAGAAGCCAGACAATCTCTCACCTGTTTTCTGTCTATATACATTTACTGTGTCTGGATATTTTATGTAAATAGAATCATACAATTTGTGATCTTTTATGTCTGGCTTCTTTCACTTAACCTACTGTTTTTGAGGTTCATCCAGGTTGTAGCACGCTGACACCGTGGTATGGATATGCCACATTGTGTTTATTCATTCACCAGCTGATGGGAAGTGGAATTGTTCCCAATTTGTGGCTATTGCAAATGATGACCTCCTTATTCTTGATGGACTAGAAATGATAAGATAGAAAGAACTTGGGATTTGGAGTCAGGAACCTCTGTCATTTACCACCTTAGTTAACTGTAAGTTTCATTTCCTGATCTATAGAGTAGATGCAATTAACCCCTTCCCTGCCCTGCTCCTAGAGTAATTATAAGAATCAAGTGAGATGATATATGTGAAATGCCTTGTGAGCTGTAATGGGACAAATGAAAAACATTATTATTGAAATAGTCTTTACATATGTATTAAAATGCACTTGATGTTTCTCCAGAGTCTTTCCATATTCATAAAATAAATGATCAAGTCTCTGAACTGTAGAAAATATCTACACTTTTTCTTCTATGGACTTGAGGTTCTCACCCTTTTGCCCTTATCAAAGCCTGTTATTTACAAAGGCTCTAATATCATTCTACCGCTCTCAAATTTACTTGATTTTAAACCTTATTTTTGATTGTGAAATAAAAGGCTTTGTTTCCTGTTGAAGAGAAGGTCTTCAGATACTCTAGCATCACTGTAGGAAGTATACAACTCAGTTTTGTTGAAGTTCAGGTTTAATCAGGGCACCCTCCAACCCACAGACTCAATTTAACCTCTTGGGGTACTTCAGGTGATTGTGAAGGGCAGGCTGGGTGCATAGTTGAGGAAACTGGGTGCATAGTTGAGCCCAGGTTGAGGGGCTTCCATTGAGTCAAAGCAAAGCAGAGCCAAATCCTCTAAAGTGATTAAAATTTTTGCATCATTGAAACAATACTAAACCAATTTGGGTAATTATATTCAGACATTCAGGAACATAAATTGTTGGCCACTGCATATCATGCCTAGTTGTATAACTTGCACAAAGCGTAAAAAAGGAGCTTCCTTGAGAAGACGGCATGGACTTTGTTTCACACAGAAAGAACCAGATACTGGTGTCTCACACCTACTCAATCCAAAGGTAAGTATCATATTTAGTGCTTCCTATACCTTCTACATTTTCCAACACTATAGGCTGCTTCTAAGAAGTTTTAAATCTCATTGGGAGATCCCAGGGTGGAAGGTTTTCAGGTTTACTAGAGTCCAAAGCACAGAATGTTGAGTACCTGTCAAGAGCCTCGGGTGCAATCACTGGCCAATGCAGCATTAGAACTCAGGCGCTCCCAGTGCCCAGATTCAAATTACTAGACTGTATCCTTCTGAAAACAGCAAATCCCCAGACATCCCTAGTATGGAGGTTACACAACACAGGCCACTGAGGTCAAATAAGTTTATTTCTTCTACACATCTTCTCCCTTGAGAAGCCCTTTCTTCTCTTATCAACAATTAATAATCAGGGCTTTACTAAGCAAAAGAGTATGTGGGGTTTTATTGCCTAGAGACAATTCTCTGCTAAGTTTTCATTCCGTAAATGTTGTCAAAGAATTTAGAGATGATAGTAAGATGCCATATGTATTCCTAACATTATTTTTTCATATTTTCAGATCTAATCACGACAATCTGCAGCTCTGTACCATTAAGACCAGGTTCTTGACTTTTGTAATTCTGTCATTGGCACTGCTACTATGTAATAGTGATAAGGGGAGCTCAGGTTTCACACGTACTTACTTTGTGTTACATATAGTGCTTTATACACTTATCTCATGCCTTGTTCAAAATCTAGAAGCTAATAATATCCACAGCCTGGTTCAAAATGGTTCACAGTCTTTTTTTTATGATAATATTTATTTGCATGTTTCACTTAAGATACTATAAAGGTAATTGAGTTTTTTGGTCTATTTTTGTATTTTTTAACTAACAATTATATATATTTATAGTGTACAACATGATGTTTTGAAATATGTATACATTACAGAAAGGCTAAATTGATCTAATTAGCATATGCATTACTTCACATACTTTTCTTGTGGTGAAAACACTTAAAATCTACTTTCTTGTTTTCAGTACATTGTTATTAACTGTAGTTACCATATTATATAATAGATTTCCTGAACTTATTATTCCTGTCTAGTTGAAATTTTGTATCCTTTGATCAACAGCTCCCCAATCCCTCCTCCCTCCCAGCCCCTGGTAACTACTATTCTTCTTTTTGTTTCTATGAATTTGCCTTTTTTAGATTCCACATATAAGTGAGATCATGTATTTGTCTTTCTGTGCCTGGCGTATTTCACTTAATATAATGTCTATTTAAGTATAAAGCATATGTCCTTGCCTAATGCATTACATATGGCACTGCAATAACCTGCAATACTGCAGTGCATGTATGTATGTGTATGTGTGCATATTATATGTGTATATGTTATATACATAGACTCATGTGTATATATGCATGTAACATTTATTTTGTTTCATAAATAACTTGAAACAGCTTAGAATTTTTTCATGTCCTAAATAAAAAAATTGTGATTTGGATGATGGCTATATACATAAGAATAATTACTTGAAACCAAAATTTGGATAGGAATTTCTAGTAAAAGGTCGATGATTAGCAAAAGGCTTAAGTGTGTTCTCTTTGTCATGAGAGACTCCATCCTGTTTTAGTTTCCATGATATATGACCCATATGATTTTGTTCAAAAGCCTATATTAAAGGGGGTACTACCTATAAGTATTATCTCATCGTTTTTGCATCTTCAGCACTGTCACCATATTGCCTGGAAATGTGTCTTGTGACTAATTAAAAATGATTAAATGATATTCTTCAGGAGGCTTGCTTTCAATGTCCTTCTTGAAATTATTTTTAGCCAGAAATGGAGATCCTATTTGATGGTGACCTATAGAAAAACTAAACAAAACAAAACAAAAAAACTCACACTCAAAGAAGAGTTTCAGATCTGTTTTTTTCCACCCAGACTCTATGTGTGATATAAAACAAAACACAGCGTCTGAAACAGCCACAGACATCTTGGCAGCATGGGAAGATGGCATCCAAACTCTACCAAGTTGATTCCACAGTGGTTAAACAGGCCCCACGGTAGAATGTTTGGCTTCTCCTAAGGCTCACTGGGGAGGTGCAGCTGTTACCCTCTCCCAGATAAAGTGACACACTCTAGCAGAAACAGAGTCCTAATGAGATAGAAACTAATTCCTCTTTCCATCCAGCCCTCTCAAAAATAAAAACACTGCTAGAGGCCAGGTGCAGTGTAATCCTAGCACCCTGAGAGGCAGATGGGGGAGGATCGCTTGAGCTCAGGAGTTCAAGACCAGCCTGAGCAAGAGTGAGACCTCATCCTTATTAAAAACACAAAAATTAGCTGGGTGTGATGGTGCAGGCCTGTAGCTACCATGACACCACTACACTCTACCCAGGGTGACAGAGCAAGACTCTGTCTCAAAAAACTAAAACTAAAACTAAAAACAAAAACAAAAACAAAAACCACTGCTAGAAAAGTCCAAAATGTGGTGAGCAAAAGATCAAATCTGTTTTGGATATAGCAATTGCTTCAGTTTTCAGTTTCATAAGACACATTTTTTTCTCCTGCTTCACAAAAGAACCACTTTCAAAACCCATAGCATGTGCAGTTAATTCATTCCTTTATATCCAAGTATCTCTTGAATATATTCACACAAAAATACATCAAAGAAAAAGTCAAAGCTTTAGTGTACTGAAACATCATATAGCAGACTTACATCCTCGCTGTTATTTTTTATTTATTAGAGCATTATTTTTAGGTAACAATAAATTTTAATCACAATTAAAAGAGCAAAATAGAAATGATAAAATTATACGACACATTACAGATGAGATTAAATACATTACAGTTTAATTTATATAAAATATATCTTCTAGAGAATATAAGAGGTTAAAATTATAGCCCTATATTGTACAGGTTTTTTTCCCCCATACTTATTTATCTTTCAAAGGTAACTAAATCGAAACACAACTTGAAAAACGTACAAACCAGTGAAGTATTACCATTGAAAGAATATAGTAACTCTTAAGATAAACATAAATATAAGAAAAATACATTATTAAAATATAATAATAATGAATTTAAATAATTACAATGAAGATCACATAACTAATTCAGAAATTCAAAACTATCACTTTACCATGAGGTCACTGATTATTTTTGTCTGGGTTTTATATAACATTCACTTATTCAATATATTCAACAAATAATTATTGAACTCTCTTTATTCTCTAGGGAATAAATTCTCTTTATTCTCTAGGGAATGTGTTTGGCCCTGAAAAAGCACTGGAAAATAGAACAGGCACAGACCCTGCCCTCACGGAGCTTACAGTCTAGCAATCTAGCGAGGAAGACAGACGGGAATATAGGCACTTATAACACTGCATGAGAAGTGCTGTGCTTGGGTCTCCCATCCTAGAGGAAGTGATATCTCAGCTGAGACCTGCAGGGTAAGAGGGAGTTGATCAGATGAAGAAGAGCAGAAAAAGTGGAAAGAGTGTTTCAGGTGGAGGGAGAAGGAAATACAAAGACCCTGAGGTGTAAGAGAGTGTGGTCTATTTTATGGCAGTGGTTTCCAGCCACAGTGAAATTTTCACCCGTCAATGGGGGAATAAGGACAGTGAGGTAAGTCTTTGCAAAGCTAAAGTCAATCAATTGTAATGGCTAAGTTTATGACTATCTTATGTTCTGGCATTAAAATGGCCCCTCTTTTATGAAATGATGATGATAGTAGATGGCATTTTTTTAAAAAAATAGGTGATTCTGTTTTTAAAATTAACAAAGCAAAAACTACTGGTGTACAAAATCTTAAAGTCTGGGAATTGTTGTGTAAAGAGTAAACTTTTAGAGGGTGTTTAATATAGTTAAAGGGAAGAGAGGAAAGGGAGACATCAAGAGATGAAGTGAAAGAGAAAGGCAGGAATTATATCATGAACGACCAGGAGAAAACTTTGGAGTTCAACCTAAGAGCAATGGGAATGACCTGAAGCAGAGGAGTGAGGCTCTCCCTAAGTGTGTAAAGGACCCATGTAGGGTATGTATGGGAGAGGGTGCGACAGAGGCAGGAAGCCAGACAGCAGCATTGTATTATCCCAGAGAAAGGAGACAACAGTCAGCTTTGGGGCCCAATCCAGGGCACTGAGTAGAAGAAGATAACTTTAGGAGATAATAGGATTTGGTGATTTGTTATACTGGGTGAGGAAAATGGAGTGGTCAAGGCTGACGTCCAGGCTTTTTCCTTTGGAAACTGAATTGCTCATTGTGCTAACTATTGAGCTAGAGAATATAAAAGAGAAAGCCTTTTTTTGTGTGTGTGTGTGTGGAAGAAGGTAGTGAGTTCCTTTGGGGACATGTTGAATTTGAGATGTCTTTGTGTTCAAATGTCCATCAGGGCAATTGTCTGCATGGGTCTCAAGCACATGAGAGAAAGAGCTGAGCTTTGGATATAAATTTTGTAGTCACTAGCAAAATGATTGAGACCGTGGAGGTGGATGAAATTTCCCAGGGAACAATGCATAAGAAGAGAAGATATATTACTAAAGGACTGGCAGGAGATGAGTAATGTAGAAAGAAGCCTGAGACAGAGTGGCCAGAGAGGTGGGGAAAGAGCCAAGAGAGCAAGGTACTGTGCAAAGGGAAGAGGTACCATTTCAAGGAGGGAGCAGACAACAGTGTCAGGTGCTGTGGGAATCCACTGGACAGAGGACTGAAGGATGCTCACTGAATTGAGCAACAAACAGGCTGTTAGGGACCTTAAGAGCAACAGAGGGGTAGATGCTAGATCACAGTGTGTGAACATGCAGGCAGGAGGAGCTCTTTTAGGCAGTGGAGCCATGAAAGACAGGGAAAGTAGGTCAGCAACTGGCAAGAGATGTGGGTTTGAGAAAGTGGCTAATTTGTTTTTTAAACATAGAGACTTGGTCATGGACATTGTGGGAGCCACTTGATAGAGTTTGAAGACTTGTAGCAAATGAAGATAACCAGCAATAATTCAAATACAAAATATTGGCTATCTTTAAAAACATAAAGGTCTTTAGCCACTTCGGTACCAGCGTCGACTTTAGCCGACAGCCGTGATAATGACTTTTCTAATTTTTCATTTATCAAAATAAAATTGTGAACATTAAAAATTACCTTAATGAAAACATATGTATATGTCACCTATTCTGATTTACATTACAAGTAAAGCTGCCTGTAAAGTAAGACAAGCTTTCAGTGCTTTAAAGCTTTTTTCCTCATCACACAAGAGGAAAATGGATTTGTCCTCAATGCACAGAACAAACTATCGTGGGGACTGTAAGTGCCAGCTGTAGGCAAGGTTTCGAGGCCCGTGAGCGCTGTACTGAAGTGGCTAAAGAAGTAAATCATGATGTTCACATTAGAACACTTGATTCACCTATAAAATTGTCAATGGACTTAAATATACTTAAGGATGCCAACTGATTCTAAGAAATACTTTGAGGGAATCACATTTTAAAATATTTTTAAACCACATATTAAAATATTAATTTTAAGTTATGGCAAGTTTAGCTCTTGTCCATAGAGATCATACTCTTTAAATAATATGTATCTTTGAATAGCTGGTGGTAGAGGAAGCTTCTCCATTAAGGTTGGCTGGCAGAGTCTTTGGAGTCCCATAAGTCTTCGAATTTTTAACCGACACAAATGCTTTAATGAACAAGGATTCTCTACAATGAATGGGGAAAACAAGCAAAAATTTAAAATAATATTAGTGGATTGATCTGTAAGATACAGATTGTTTTAGAATAACATGAATAGTGTCCTTCTGCAAAACATGTATATGCACTTTAGGAAGTGGTGGTTTTAAGTGAAATTCATATTGCAATTAAGTATTTTAGACCATTCCCCTAGAATGCAAACTCCATGAGGGCAGAGATTTAGTCTGCCTCTGTGCCAAGAAAAGTTTGGCTCACAATAGATGTTCAACTAGAATTTGTTAAGTGAATGAATAGACTTGATTTAAGAAAGTAAATACTCTCTGACAGAAAAAGGCTATCTAAAATAAAAAAAATAAATAAATAAAAAAAAAAAAGAAAGTAAATACTCATATAACCTGTCCATTTTTTAGAACTAAGTAGTATAGAAGCCAGGCATGGTGTCACACACCTATAGTTCCAGCCACTATGGAGGCTGAAGCAAGAGGATCACTTGAGCCCAGGAGTTCTAGGCTGTAGTGTGCTATGATTATGTCTACAAATAGCCGCTGCACTCTAGCCTGTGCAATATAGTGAGAACCTGTTTCTAAAAAAGAAATACAACAACAAACTTTCTGATGAATAATTATCCAGGAAACATTAATGCAAGTGATTCCACATCATCCATGATTCAATCCGAGGTTTGTTTCCAGTGTCTGATGTCTAAACATTTTATATTTTCAAAAAAGTACACTAATGTTATTTAAGTATCTATTGTTAATCTTTATCTTCAATTCTTAATCTATATTATATAGATCTATAATATATTGATATATTATACCAGCAATATGAATTAATGAAAAGGCAGCATAGCACACAGGCTTGGGATGAAGGTTCTGGACTCAGTCCTAACTCTGCCACTTAGTATTTGTGTGACCTTGGGCAAGTTACTTGACTCTGTGATTTTATTATAGTATTCTCATCTGTGAAATGTGGATAATATTAATGGTATCTGCCTCACAGAGTTCTTTAAAGAGTAAATGAATTAAATCATATTAAATCAAAGTATTAGAAAAGTGTTTGGCACATTGTAACCATTAAATAAATGTTAACTATCATTCAATTTAATAATAAATGTGATCACATTTCTATTACATGTGATATTATAAGCATTCAAATTATCTTTTTTAAAATTAAAACAATGTTTTCCAAAAATTAAGGCAACACTATTATTACCATAATAGGTAGGGAAAAAATCCATCTTTTTAAAAAAATTACTATTTTACTTTTTTCCCTAACAAATACGCTGTCATACGTATACCTGGAAGAATCCTGACATCCAGTGGTTATCTGTGCTCATAGCAATAAACTGGCTTTGAGTCTGGTTGCAGTAACGTATGACTGAAACAACAAAAAACTCCCTGGTTTTATTTTTACTTGGATTGCCTTTCCAAAGTCATTAGAATTGGTGATTCTTTTTCAATAAAAACATGCAGACAATTATTCCCACTTAGAAACAGTATCTATTCTTTCTATGACAGGAGTACTATGGTATTATAGAAAGAGCCTGTGTTTTGAAGTAAGACAGGCGAGGATTCAAGTCTTTGCTTTTTCTGTTTATAACTATGGAAAATTAATTTATCTAAGCCTTTGAGTTTTTTCCTAGTTACAATCTCCAAATTGTTTTAATACATTTATTGCAAAATAACATACAGATAGAGAAACTACACACATGTATAGTTTTCTAAGTTATTAAAAGTGATCAGGTTAACATCTTTAGTTACCTCCAAAGTCCAACCAAGGTCATGACATAGAACTTTGCTAGACACCCTAGAATTTCCTCCGCAATCCACTCAGTCTTCACCTTTTCCTTCCCCCATAAGTAACAACCCTTCTGACTTGTATAGTAATCAGTTCCTTCAAAGTTTCATTATCCAAGTGCACTATCCCCACATTATATAGTATTGACAATATTACTTTTAAATTTTGTTATGTCCTTTAAATGTTTTTTAATCTGCAGTTTCTTCTCTGCACCCTCTTCTTGTCCTTTCAATTAATTTTTGGAAGAACCCAAATGCCCTGCAGTTTCCAACAACCTGAATTTTACTGATTACATTTTCACGGTGCAGTTCCATTGTCTTCTCTATTTTTTGCAAATTGGTAGCTGGACCCAGGGACTTGATCAGACTCAGGTTAGATTTCTCTGGCAAACTGCAGTGGTGCTGTGTCGTTTCACTGGGGCCTGCATAAGGTGATACTAGCAGCAGTTGATGCTCAATAATTATATCCTTTAGTTTACTGGGGATAAACTGCAAAATGGTGATATCTAATTATATCAAATAATGTAATTTGATATAATTATATTATATCAAAGTGGGGGCTACAAAATGGTGAATCTAATTATAGAATTTCCTTTTCGTTTATTATTTGGAATATTTTTATTAAGGGATTACTCATTTACTTTTTGGTTACTAATAGCACAAATCATATAGGTAAGGCAGAACAAACAGTTAAATCTTTCTTTTTATCCCAATTTTCAAGGTAATAAGTTGAACTTTTACTGTTCTCTGGAGCTGACCAGTTTTTAAAATATCATATATTTAAACTTATTGGGTAAGTTTCAACTCATTGAAATAATTATCCTTTTTGAAACTTAAGTTGTCCTATCTTTGGCCAGTGGGACTCTCTTCATGTGGGTTCCTGACTTCTTTTGACATGCTTCTTGAAATATTTAAGAATTTCTTTTCTATCTGGTATCCAGATGTTCCATCCAGGTTCATCTTGTACATTTCCTTCCCTAGATATGAAATAATCTAGTTCTCTAAAGATGAATCTGTCTTTCACTTGTAAGACTGACTTACGGATAAAACCAATGAATGCCATCTACCAGTGTCAACCAATTCTGGTATCCAGTGTGTCTAGGGATCTGTATTCTCTGGGGAAACTGATCAAAATCAGTGCTGGTGAGGTTTGCAATGTCTCCATTCCTTTTGAAGGCCAAGAGTGAACATGTGCACTAATGACTATGTGAAATTCATTTTGCAGTGAGAAAACTCAGGTATAAAAAGGATAAGTAACTTGCTCAAAGTCACACAGCTAGTATGACTATCTTGGTGTTTTTACAGGAAATAAAAAGTCTTTCTCCTCTTAGAGAAGCAAAAATGATATCAATAAATTATTGCTTGTTTCAATGAAAATAGCCCTGAATTATATTTACACTATATAATCCAGCAATCCTACTCCTAGGCACAGCCAGACTTGCACCCTATCTTGGGTCTATGTGACCACAGAACTCAATTTCTAGGGTCACGATACTAAATTTTTATCAGAATCGCTAATATTTCTGCTTTAGTTGCCACAAAATCTCTTCTATTAAAGAACTCCTTCCAGGGGAAGGCAGATTTAAGTATATTAAGTTCTATGATGTTTCTTTAGGCTTCATGACATTGATTTCCAAGTAGGTTTTGAAAGTTTATTTTTCCAAACTCATATTTTGAAAGAGAAAACCTCTCCAATCTATGAATTTTTTCCAGTTTCTACCCTTGTTTTGAGTCATTTAAAATGTACTTTATTGAAACTTTTATAATATCTATAGATGAGGTCTCACTATTGCCCAGGCTGGTCTTGAACTCCTGGCCTCAAGTGATCCTTCTGCTTCGGCCTTCAAAAGTGCTGGGATTATTAGATAGGCAGGAGCCATGGTGCCCAGCCTTTATAATAGGATTCATTTTCACAATAACTAATCTTTGATGGTAAGATTATATCAATAAAGACCTGAGTGAAAGCAAGTCAAAAAGGGTAATTATAATCCCTACCATTTATTCATTTACTCCATAAGTATTGATTATTTACTACTTACTAGGAACTATGCTAAACCTTGAGAATATACTAGAAAAAGAAACAATACAGATCCCTGCCCACATGGAGATTGCAGACTACATATTGCATGATATTATAGAAGTTAATTTTCAAAAAATGAGTTCTAGTCAGAATGTTAATATAGGTATAGTATTACTCATTATACAACTAAAGAGTTGGAAAATATCAAGAAACACAACAACAAAAATATCTTACAACAAAGAAAGTGTTAGGGATGATTTAACAACCCCAGATAATTCTGAAAATAAAGTAGCACTGAAAAAAATATTAAAGAAGACCTTAAGAGACTTTTCTCACATACATTTTTAATAAAAAAGAAAGTGTAGGCAAAGTTTTGTTTTTTACCTAGTATTTGGCGGATTTCTGGCCATTCTCTCTGTACTTCTAGCGCAGACTTCAGTTTAGCGCACAGAGGGACATAATCCATGTAATCTATTAATATACGAATTACACTGCCTACCAAGTGCTTCATCCAAGGAACTGTAATAAACTCACAAAACTGAGAGAATTGACAAAATTTAACTTTGTAGTACTTTAATTTACCACATATATAAACACTCAATTTTGTTATAAAATTACTCTTTATCTTTTACAGAAAATAAAAAAATCCCTCCTTATAATGAACAAAAATGAAAGATAAATTGGTTCCTTGTTTCTGTGAAACTATCAGTTCTGAAGACATATGCATGGCTCTGATGTGATTGTAGTTAACATAACATAGAAGAATTATGCTTCTTTTCACTTAGCCCTGATATTCCACCAATGAAGCATTAGTGATTAATCTCATAAATTTTCAAGTTCTTCTACATTCAGTTTCCAATTCAAGAAGAATAAACAACATCATTTTTTTGTTAGCTTTATGCTTATATCCCCATATCACTGTAAACAAAAATTCAAGAATAAAAAAAGTTTAAAAATTAGAGTTGATTTTTCTTTTCTTGTAATATCCCTAAATGAGCGAAAGCTTGTAAGAGTTAGGATGATGACCCAATATGAAACAGAAAAGGATGTAACTCACCGGGTTATCTCTTATTACACAAGATGTCCATCCTGGCAGTACCTCTTCCTCTATCTCTGACCACACAAAGGAATTTCCAAAGATGTCCCCATGCATGCATTCAAAGCACATCTCCACTTGGTAGCCATTATTCAGCAATAGCCTCAGCATTACCTCGTCATTTAGGGCATACTGAATGACACTGGGGAAACGCGTGTCGTTCACATGCATAAAGTAACAGTTGACATTAGCTCCATGGGAGAGAAGCAGTCGGACGATTTCATGATTATTGGCCCTCACTGCCACAAGTAGGCAGTTGAGGGGATCTAGGTTTGGATCTGCACCTGCTGCCAGAAGGACTTCCGTGCAACGGATATCATTGTTAGAAACGGCAAAATATAGCGCAGTCTTTCTCTCATCATCATAGTTCTGGGAAATGTGGTCAGCAAGGAGGGTATTGACGTCAAAACCATTTTCAATGAGCAGTTCTAGGCACTGTACATTTTGTCCATCTGCTGCTGAGTGAATTGGTGTTAGCCCACTTTTCTGAATTGCATTTTTGGATGTTACTGGGATAAGATATTTCAGTACACTAAAAAAAAAAAAGTCAAATATCCACATGGCATAAAGAAAACCAAGAAATTGAAAAAAATCAGCTTCTTCACTAAATAAGTGAAGGCAATTTGTTTAGTTTCCCTTAATTTCACTAGACAACCTTATACTGAAACAATCTTTGTCCATCAAACTATTATTAACATTTACTTTAGTGTGATTTAGTTCAATTTAGATTTATCTTCCTATTCTAAATATTCCTGAGAAACGTGCTGGATCTTATATGAATGGTCCTAGAACTTTGGTTCCTCAGGAACCCTCCCTACTTTCCAATTCTTCTCTGAACAATACAAGTTTTATAAGCAACCAGTGCTATTTAATAAAAAAATATAAAAGTAAGCCTTTCTGATGCCATAGAAGAATGCTTCATAATCTTGACCATTTGAATCATGGAATCATAGAAAGTGAGAGGTGGAAATGACCTTGGATATAATTTAGTCCAACTGCTTCATTTAATATGAAGTCTGGGGAGGTAAAATGACTTGTCCAAGGTCACACGGTTAGATGTGGAGGTGGTCTAGAATTTAGGTTTCTCATTAATTATTCCTCTTTTACTGATTCCTAAGCAATCTATTTTTTTAAAATATTGACCATGTACATACTGTCTGCTTTCATACAACTTGTAATTGAATTATTAGCCAAAATAAAAGTCTTTATTATTCTATCAACCTTACATCTGTCCAATTGAGGTAACAGCTTATGTGTCTAAGTACATGTGATAAACTGTTGTAAATTTCACACTTGACTAACCAACTAGACATGTATGAGAGCCACAAGCAAGGATAACTCGATCTCTTGTGCCTAATTCAGAGCTCCCATGTGTGAATTTATGAACACTGGGAGTAAATCCAGATAAACTTTAACAACATGTCACTTAGCATCAATGACACGTAATTGGCCACTTAGCCAATGTGGCCACTGAAAACTACATATCCTAACTACTTCAAAGTTTTTCAACGTATAGAATATATTGAATTGACTGCAACCATCTTCTCACGGTGGGTAGTTTAATACAGTGATTCTAGACTTCTATTGATGTGTTTATTATGGCACATTTTGTGATTTAAAAATCCATCCAACCATTTCTATGGAGTAAAGAAATCTAAACTCATAATGAAACTTTTCTATTGAAGAATATATTTGACATAATATATTTGACATTATATTATAAAATCCTGGAGATGTTAAGAAATAATTGTAGCAACAATGATAGTATTGTTACAAATTTTAATCCTTTATCAAAAGCAAAATTTTTAGAAATTCTGTAGTGTTTTGCTGAACAGGAAGGCACTCTTGGTTGGCTTGTGCAGAATTCTCACATAACTTAATTCCTTTTAAAAGAGAATTTCTTTTCTTCATAAAGTTATTATAAATTCATTTTTTGGAAGTATAAGAATATGATAAGAAGGAGGAAAATCAAACAAGTTCCAAGCATCTAAATACAAAACTTGTGAACATTTTGACTATTTCTCTTTGGATTTTTTGGAGGGTAGTATATATATAAAGAGAGACTTGTGATTATACTGCATATATAAATTTGCATTTTTAACTTAAAATGATCACCCTGTAATTTATCACTCACAGATAATGTCCCTCGTAGGCAGCTCGGTGTATAGGAAGATGCCCTGCCCTGTTAGGTACGTTGCCACTTCCTCCATATTCCAGCAGGAGGGAGATGCAATCAGGATTGCCACCTCCTGCTGCCTCAAACAGGACTGATGCCCCATCATCCGCCAAAGCAAACACATCACCACCTGGCAGCATAAAACACATGGCATGAGGATAACTGGCCTTGTTAAAATAGTCCCCTTAAAAACAACCTGTTGTTTTCCTTTCTAGTTAGAACTTAAACGCATAGAATTCAGAGCTGCTATGTTCTCAATATTTTCAACAGAGAGTTACCCAGCATCCTTCCCTTTATTAGAAAATCTTTGGGTCACAAAAACATGAGAGAAACTAGCAAGTCAATTTTCATGACTGGCAAATACTTTCAGAAAAAGGGATCATTAGACTTTTTTTACTTCAAGACGATAATTAACACTCTTTCGATTCAACAAATATTTATCGATCACCCTCTATACACAAACACTGTGTGTGACCATAAGATGAATAAGTTTGACTACTTTAAGGAGCTTAGAGGGGAAATGAAACAAAATGTCATCAGAGAACACAAACTGTGTGACATTCAAATGACATCAGGACTAGGTGGTATGATGCAGGAGACAGAGGGCTGTGTTTGAATTATGGCTCCGCTGCTTACTGTGAGAACTGGGGACAAGCCATTTACTTCTATGCACCTCTATTGCCGCATCTCTAAACTGGAATAAATCAGCTTGTTTCACAGGGCTTAGTTGATATTTAAATACAGTTTGCTCAAAAATATTCATCTTTTCCACATAGAGGATCCTTGGGGACCATGTGGTCCTACTCTTCATTTGTAGGTGATAAAACTGAGGACCAGATGTTGAGCTAACCTGGTTAGGGTCTCACAATGAGTAGGTGACCCAACCTAACCAGTTTAGGAATTAGGTCTCTTAACTGCTGGTTCTGTAGTTCTGTTTAGTTATATCCTTTGAGGATATAAAGAAGGGCAATGACACAATCTGTTGGGGAGAATTAGGAAAGGATTAGGGAAAAAGGTGTCTCAAGAAATTGACTTTGAATTGTGCTGGAGAGATGAGGGCAAAGACCTGAACTAAACCCAGACAGAGGGCATGCCAGATTTTTTGGGGAATACTGCTAGTCTATTTTGTTTGGAGTGTAGCATACAAGATGGGCATAGTAAATGATAAACCTGGAGAAACAATTCAGGATGATGCCGTAGGGATTTTTTGAATAGTTGACACTATTGTAGCTGTCCTTTAGGGAGAGGAACCAAGTTGCAGTATGTAGCATGGATTTTCTGATGGCGAGACTGGAAAGCCAGAGAATGGTTAGAAAATATTTGCACTGGTCCAGGGAAGATGTGAGGGACCTGACCATGAAGGCAGATGGATTGCAAAAATCGGGACAAGAGAGATGCTATACGATTTTGCAATTGATTGGGTTTAGGAAAGAAGGGGATGGAGAAAAAGAGGTAAACCCAACCTTTCAGTCCTGGCTGAGAGAAATTATATCAGTAAGTAGAAAATGAGGAAAAATTCAGTTTAGGAGAAGCCTTAAGGAGCTATCTATGTGAAAATTTTGCTGTTTCTACAGAAAGCAGTAGGCCACAATATATAGGGTTTAACTGAGTTGTGGCATAGGGGCTTGTTGGTGGGGCTGAGTGTGAAAGCCTGATGCCCAGTTACACTCAGGGGAGGAAGAGGACACAGCGAGGAAAGGAGAAAAGGAGTGTCCAAGAGGCAGGACAAAAGTCAGGAGAGTGTAATTCCTTTTCACATACCTTTGTGGATTAGATGTTCCAACACATCACAGTGACCGTACTCGGCAGCCACTCCTAACGGTGTGACTCCAAATCCATCTCTCAGGTGGACGTTGCCTCCATGTTTTAGTAGCAGAGCTATGATGTCTTTTCTGCCTTGCTTGGCTGCTTCGTGCATTGCCGACCATCGCTTGACACACGGCTGGTCAAGGCTGGGGTTGTGTTTAATCAGAGTGGACACCATGTCATAGGAGCCCTTCTTTACAGCTTGAAAATTATTTTTAAAAAGGACAGACAACAGTAAGTATATTCACACAAATACCTTAGGAGATATGAAACTAATAACCAAATTTAATATTAAAATATATATTAGTTATAATCTTTTCTTCTACAAGAGAATATTGTATTTCTCTAATGCCTTCTGTTTCTCGTAGTCAAATTTCCATTTGTGGAGTATAAGTATGCAAGATAATACTGATTTTTCTTTAACATCCGGAGGAGGGGTAAGAGTTTCATGGAAAACAGTGTGCGTTGCTGGATAAGGATGCCGTGCTTACTCGTTCTAAACTTCCATTTCTTCATTAACAAAATGGAAATAACATCTACTGTGGGGTTGTACAAATTAAATAATGTATGTAGAATGCTTAGTATAGTACCCACTATATAATAGGAACTTAGTAAATAATAATTACTATTAATAACATTTTATCACTCCTAGGACCTGGGAGTCCTAGTCTCATGTGTAAATAATGTTTACCAAGTTTTCCTTCATAGAAACAGGTTTTTTCTTCCACCAAAGACAGCAGTAAGTATTGCATGAACTTCTCTTTCCTATACTTTTAATGGGAGGTTATCAACGGGACAGTTTAGAATCCAGGCAGGTCAACTTTTCTAAACAGGTGAAGTGGCAGATAATATAGTACAATTTAAGAAGCTCAGTAAATCACATGTCTCCCTCCCTCTCTGTTTGTCTCTAATAGCTCAAATTACACTGTTAAAAGTTTTTTCCCCCTTTGGATCATTAAGAGATTGTCTCCATTTTGCTGTAAATACTTATGAGATATGTAAAACATTTTTTTTTCTTGTCAATAAGTAAAATCTTAATGTGAAACAGATCCGGGTGAGCACTACCCCCTGCAAATGGAGATAAATGCAGTTACATTCACTCATTCATCCACTCACTCATTCATGCATTCACTCAGTTAATGCCTGCTGGCTAACTGAAAGGCTCTGTGCTGGGCACTGTGGACAGATTGGGCTCTCACTCATGGAATCTACAGTCTGGAGAAGAAGTCTATACTGTCTTCTATTTGAAGAGAGACTCAAAAGACTGGGCCTTTGCTGGGAAAGGCAGGAGGAGATGTGAGGCCACATAGAACATTCCAGGGCAGCTAGGAGGTGGAAGCTTCTAATGCCAAAGCAAGGAAAATGGTTCCCGATGGTGTAATAAGAGGATGAAGACAAACTTGCCTACTTCCTTTGGAGGAAAGCAAGCCACCACTGCAGCAAGGTTCCACATTTTCTCCTGCTCACTGTCTAAAGTAGAGTGTGTTGACAAATGCCTCTCTCCGGAATCTCCCATCTGCCACTGGCAGCTCAAATTACAGTGAATTACCTCATCCTAGCTGGTGTTACTGCAAAGCACACATCAAGCGAGCTAAACGAATGAAGAAATGTGTCCTTGTTTATCTTCTTGCTCCTATTGCAGTTTTTTTAATAATTAGAAAAAATATATTAAAATAATGAACTTCTTCCCTCATGATCTATTTTCCTTTTTTTCTGACTCAGAACATACTGATTAGCAACATTAGTCTCTTTTTTTTCATGAGAGTAATAGCATATATGGGACATCTTCAACTTAATATTAATTTTTTAAAAATCAAAGCTTCACTTCTAATTTAATTTTTTTGGAAATAAGAATATATTTTCCATAGAAATAATAATGCAGATGGTGGGAAACCTCTCTCAAGCTAACTCATGAAGACATTCTTAACTCATAAATGACTGAAATAACGAAAAGGCACAGTATTGGTGTAACATAACTGATTAAGTAAAATAACTAAAAAGTTCCAGAGTTTAATATATATAAAATTTTATATGTGCTTTATATTTATATATATAATTTTTAAGTCTCTAGAATTTAAAATTCCAAAATTTAGAATTTAGAATTCTTTAGAATTTTTTCAGAAATTTTTTAATTCTTTAGTTTTCAAACTTTAAAACTTATCTTCAGCGGTCGCAGTGGCTCATGCCTGTAATCGTAGTATTCTGGGAGGCCGAGGCGGGCAGATTACTCAAGGTCAGGAGTTCCAAACCAGCCTGACCAAGAGCAAGACCTCGTCTCTCCTATAAATAGAAAGAAATTAATTGGCCAACTAATACATATAGAAAAAATTAGCTGGGCATGGTGGCGCATGCCTGTAGTCCCAGCTACTCGGGAGGCTGAGGCAGCAGGATCGCTTGAGCCCAGGAGATTGAGGTTGCTGTGAGCTAGGCTGACACCACGGCACTCACTTTAGTCTGGGCAACAAAGTGAGACTCTGTCACAAAAACAAAAACAAAAAACAACTTGTGTCTTCAATAGTAATGCTTAAAGAAAATCAAGCTTACTTTGAAGAGTTTAGGAAATTAGATAGTGAGTTTTGCATAGATTATAGGCACTTTCAAACACTGTATAATTTGCAGGTACTTTTCCTTTTTATTTTGAATTTGTCATTTTCTTTCTTTGTGCTCATGTAACGTATTATCAGCTATGAATGTTTTTCTGACTCATAAAATATACAGAAAAAAAGATTTTTCTGAGATATCTTGACAAGATTGAAACAAGAGATGGAGTGAGGAAGATGTCTATTGATCTGTGAGAAAGTAACTGTCTGAAGGAAAAATGAACTGATCTGTAAATGGCGTAGGTTGTCAGGAACAGAGGGCCATGGGGCTGAAGTATCATGCTAGTCGGTTCCCCGAGCCTTCTCTCTAGCCCGGGCTCCATTGGCCTGGATAAGCCTGTGGCTTGGGACACCAACTCCTGGGGGTGGGTAGAGAGGAAGTCCAAATCCCAAACCCCTTAATGGGTGTCAGATCCTCACAAATTAGACATCCACCATTCAGCAGGTAACTGTGTAGCATGACTATAACATATAAAAAAGTACCCTAAGCAAGGGCCAGATGGCTCATAGGGAAGGGCCCTGGAGGGACCAAAAGTATTTTTATTTTTTGCCATTTAAGGATACTCCATAAATAGAGACAAAGATGATGGCACCAGACAAAGAAAAATAAAAATGACATTGTGCAGAAAAAAAAGAGACAATACTTTTTTTTCTCTTCTCTCTCCTCTGCAACTTAAGGAACTGTGAGTAGCGAATTTCAAAGCAGCCCATAAGAAAACCGAGGACATGCCATGGATGATCCATTTTCCTATAGAACTTAAAAAGACCTGGCATGGGTTTCACAACAAAGATCCTGAAGAAGGTAACCCAAGAAAATCCCTCTCCTGCAGATGTGTGGATGATGAGGACATACGGGGGCACCTCCAGGATATTGCCTCTACAAAGACTTTCGTCCTTTCTTGATATTACCATTGGTTTTTAAGATATATTATTTCTGAATGTTAATTCTATTTTTATTTTGGTAACTCAATGATAAAAATTCCTTTCCTGCACTCTAGATCTTGCTAGAGTAGAGATTAAACGAACATATGGAATTTTGAAATGCATGTCAAATGCTTAATTCTGTGTTGTGGGCCTTAATCATTAAAGAAAAATTTAAACGAAGCAAAACAAAAACCAATGACTAGTAATCATGACTTAATTTCCTTTAAGAAATAAGTGGATTGAGGAAAGCAAGTGGAGAATAATTCCATATTTGCAACGTGAAGCAGTGTACAATTCCGAAAAGATGTTTGTTTTTTGCTGAAACCAAAGGCTACCTATAGAAATAACACATGTGTTGTTGCAAATATTACATGGTCTATGCTGGCTTTAAAAAATGTAACACAGATCATATTAAGAGTGGTGAAGAAACCCACAGGTGCATATTCCATTTAGCATCTGTAAAGCTTGCTTCAGGAAAAGAGTTCTGGTTATTTATGAAAAGCATCATGATATTGTCACAGAAAGGCTAGTTGAAATGTATGCAGGGAGTACTATTTCTTCCTCAGTATTAATGCTTCCCCTTTTCCTTTTAGTATCAGAAGCCTCCAAATGTTAGCTGGTCACAGACCATCCAGGTAAAGACTAAATATCCCAGCCTCCTCTGCACCAGGTGTGGCTATGTGACAAAATCTGAACGAATGGGATATAAATGGAAACACTATGTGCAACGTTGAGGTCCCCACTTTAAATTGAAGATGCTTTCTCAGGGCTTCCTGGCTTCCTCTTTTCTCCTTCATGCTTCCTGGGAAATGGTGACGTTAGAGCAAGCATTGAGCAATGTTGGCAAAGCCACCCTGACAAACCTGGGCCACTCACCTCTGGGATGATGTGTGAGAGAGAAATGGCTTCTTTCTCTTTAAGTCATGGTTCATTTACTTGTTTGCTTTGTGTATCTGTTTTCGTTTTTTGTTACGGAAGCTTTGCCTGTGCTCTAACTATCATGATTAGATCGTTTGATCTGATCTGAGTTTGGGAAGGCTGAGAGCTCTGCGGGGGCAAGAATGGGAGGGAAGGAATCAGACCAGGATGACCACAAGTCAGGGGCAGAACAGCCGCCTAGCAGCCTTCCCCTCCCCTGTCTGCCAGTTATCCCCTCTATATCCCTCAAGTCTCAACTCGGGAAAGCAAGGCTCTTTGAAGGCTTCACAGATTCACTGTTTTTTTTTATTCTCCTAATTTACGTTGCATATATACCTTTCTAATAGCATTTGTAACACTAATATTCCATTTAAATCATATCCAACTCTCCTAGGCTCTATGAGAAGAGGAAGCTTAGTCCATTCATCTGTACATCCACACTGTGCAGCGCAGCATCTGGCTTAACGTGACTTCTCCATAAATGTTTGTTGCATCGATGTTCTTGGATTCATGCCATCGAGTGCAGATATTTTACTAATGTTGATGACTTGTTTAAGTTTTCTTAGCAATATTCAGGTTGTTTAAAAAATTGTTGGTGATTCCTCTGTGAATAGACTCAGTGGTGGTGCTTAACTAGCTATGAATGTAGCTCATGGCGCTTTATCCCCTTCCTCTGTGGTTGCTGGTAAATAGTCTTATGTCCTCACCTCCTCTTCCTCCCCTCCTCCCACCACACACACACACTTTCCCAACAGCTCTCCTCTCCTGAGCGTCATGTATGAAAGGTTTTATATATGCATTTCCTCTAATTTTTATAACAATTCTACACAGTAGATGTGTTTCAATTTTACATACAAGGAAACTGTAGGCCCATGATTGCATCTCTCTCCCCTTTTACAAACAGATCTGCCAATTCTTATTGTTCACCAATAGCAGGCCATAAAAGACAGAGAAGAAGCTGGTAAATGAACCTTCCGATTTATCATTCTTCCATTGTTGTGCCACAATGGGAACCCCCTGATAGTGCCGTGCTTTGCATTTGTGTGCTCAGAATCTGTTGGCTCTACTTCCTTCCAGTTTGGCCTGATCATTCTGATGTGGAATCCCTTTCTATCACTTTTTTCGGGACACCTATTGCACATGGAACCCTCCTTGCAACTGGGGGGTACCTAGAGAATATTCCTTTAGAATTGGTGTCTCTGGCTTCATAAAACTAATTCAGATCCCTCCTGGCTAACTGAACTCTCTATAACTGGGTGCTAATGGATGTGGCCATCTTTCACATTTGACCTCTTTGTGGGATGGGAAAACAAAATCATAGGACAGAAGAGATGAGGGTTACAGAGGGGCTCAGGCAATTGAGGTCACACAATTTTAGCCAATATACAGTGGTTTTCAATAAATACTTATTAAATGTTTGTTATTTGTTTCAAACTACAAAATTTCTAAGAATAAAAAGGTCATTTACCAATGAGAAGGGGTGTCTCTCCTTTGTCATTTTTGGTATTGGGCCACACTCCCTTTTCCAGTAAAGTTCTTACATTTTCCACCAGACCAGCTTTGACTGCCAAAGTCAAGGGTGTTTCTCCATCACAGGTCTTGAATTCCCAGAGTGTCTTATAGGATGCTAAGACATGAAAACATCATGTTGAAAAGTTGAAAATATTTACTTACCAGGATATCACATAAATCATAATAACCCAATATTATATATATATAAGATCGAATAAACACAATTGATGAAAAAGGAAAGACTTTGATTAAAAGTTTACCAAATGGCAAACTATCAAGAGATAGTTCAAGATGAAAAATTAAAAACCGACTTCCAAAAAAAAAGTACGGTACATAGGTGGTACAATGGTAGAATTCTCACCAGCCCAAAGAAAAAAAGCCTTCATATTTGAATCAGTTAATTTATGACATATACAAACTTTTTATAGCTTTTGGGGTAACCATACCTTCTCACCAACCTGTGTCACATTCCTAGGTAAAAGCATACGCCCTGTCACAAAATGTGCTAATTTTTGTACTTTGAGTTTAAAACATGGGTACTGCCTTTTTCAAATTTCAACTAATCATTTATTCTGCTTTTTTTTTTTGTCTTTGCTTGTTATGTTCATTGAAAACACATATAACTTCTACATTCTTTCTTTGATTTGATCATAGGGGTTTTATGTTCTCTTACCATCCAGAACAATCTCAAGTATTTGTTGAATGGGTTGAACAACAGCTTCATGCAACGGAAACCATCCTTTATCATCAGCTTCATCCAATGCAAATTTATATTTCACATACTCCTGGAGCTCAAGAATGTGACCTAAATTAAACACACGGATTAATAACAAATGTCTATCTTTGCAAGGAGGATTCTCCAATCCCTGTAGACAATATACTCATTTACCTCGTCTTATGGCCTCCACAAGTTTTCTGTTTTGATCACTTAGGGGTACAAATCTACCAAAGAAATAAAAATAAGTCATATTTACAGTAGTGGTATACTACAAGGAACTCCAAATTTTAATTTCTACTCATTTTATCTACTTTTAAAATATAAATGTCTAGAAGTCAGATACGGAGTATATTTATGATAGCTTGGAACTAAGAACATTTTCTGTGTATGTTTTATAAATAAAAGCAAGGAATTCCATAACAAATTTGCTTAACCCTATTAAGCAGAAAATATCTGCTAGCATTCTAGGGTTGTGAATGTCTTCCAGGAAACTCTAATGTTCCCAAATCCATTGGAGATAAGGGAAAAATTTTAAAGACCAGAAATTTATATGTAATATGTTCATTTTTTAAAAGCTCAAAAGCAAGAATTTTTATAACACTGAATCTATTGAAAACTACTACTAAATTTCATAATATAAGATTCTAAATATTAGAATGTAAAGGTAGACTAAACTTTATTTCTGTCAGAAGTATAATGTGTGTTGTTCAAGACATAAATTTAGTTTTGCATTTGTAGATTCAATAACTCCTACTTACATAATCCATCAATTTTATGCACATCTTAATTTGTTAACTCCTATCATGTGGATAGTAGATAATTACATAGGTGGTGGTTTATATATTACTTTGTCATATATAACAAAAGCCCACAGCTCTCCTCCCATTCATTGAACTAAATGAGGTGAGTTAGCATTATTCTTCATATTTTAAAAATGCAAAAATGTAATATGTTACTTATAAAAGGTTAGCTGAGTCAGTAGCAGAACAAGCTCGAAAATATACAGACCTCTGTTACCTTTCTATACAATGGTTGCATAAACTGTACTTGCAAATTTATTCTAACTACTTATTGTCATTTTGACTCCACATTAATTTAGAAAATAGGCAATTCTATACACCAAAATTCAACTAGGAATTTCCCAGCTAGATTATTTCTGTTTTCCACATGAGTTGAGATTTATGGAAGATAAGATTGCTAAAACCTATGCACAGTGGTCCTTGTCAAACCATTAGATTCCCTGCCAGAAAAGAAAGATAAACATTTTCTTAGGGAAGAAGTTAGGAAACAGCATTCATTTTATCTTATAATGAAATGAGCTGGAACCCATTCTACTAAGTGAAGTATCTCAAGAATGGAAAAACAAGCACCACATGTACTCACCAGCAAATTGGTATTAACCTATCAACACCTAAGTGGACATATAGGAGTAACATTTATCGGCTGTCGGGAGGGTGGGGGGGGAGGGATGGGTATATACAACCACAACGAGTAAGATGTGCAACGTTTGGGGGATGGACATGCTTGAAGCTCTTACTGGGGGGGGAGGGGGGCATGGGAATATATGTAACCTTAACACTTGTACCCCCATAAGACGCTAAAATAAAATAAAATAAAATAAAACACTATATTTGAAAAACAGGAAAAGAGACAAACCCCTAGCTAATTTAATCAAGAAAGAAAGGAGAAAGCACACATGTACAAAATAAGAAATGACAAGACAGAAATAACTTTTGAAAACAAGGGAATTGTACAAAATAAAATAATTAGAAAAAAAGAAATGAATGCCATAAAGAAATTTGGGGGAGGACAGTCAATTTGAATACTACCTTTCAGGATAAAATACAGTCTTGCTGGCTTCAATGGATTCTTGGATACTGAGCTGAATATCATAACTTGTAAGATGGTCTTCATCAGGGTCATCATTAGTGTCCATGTCGATACACAATTTTGAAAGAGGCAATTTCTTGTTATGAGCAAATGACACCAAACAGAACAGAGTTAACATGAAAAATGCAAAATTAAAAACTAAAATGCATTTTCCTTTCCCTATTTAACAAATATGAATGCAGTTAACATTTTAATCCCCATTATATATAAGGTCCCTTTTGTTAACTTAAAATGGTTTAACTGCTGAAACATTTAATTACCTACCCTTTAAGGTTTTAAGGTGTCTGTACTTTCTTTTTTTTTTTTTCCTGAGACAGGGTCTCACACTCTTGCTCAAGCTGGAGTGCAGTGGTATGATCATAGCTCACTGCAGCCTCGAATTCCTGAGCTCATGTGATCCTCCTGCCTCAGCCTCCCAAGTAGCTGGGACTGCAGGCATATACCACCACCTGACTAATTTTTTAATTTTTTTTTTTGTAAAGATGAGATCTCGCTATTCCCCAAGTTGATCTTGAATTCCTGGCTTCAAGTGATCCTCCCACCTCGGCCTTCCAACACTTTCTAACCTTTGGTTTTCTTTTCAGTAATGAGATTATAAGAGTTCACTTTTTTCAGAGCTTCTGATTTACACTAATTTTGGTCAGTTTTCTGTGACACTATTTTATTTAGTGCATTAGAAGCTTAAAATTCAACTCAAAGAGGAGATGGTGGCAGTAATGTAGAACAGTGATCCTTTATATTCTTTACAAACCAGCAATGGTTCATTGTAAGGTATGACTCATCTTGGAGTATCCTTTGAAGATAAAAGCCATCTGAACTCTATCCAGAGACCAGAGACCAACCCTCCTGTAGATTCCTCATTCATTCCTTTTCCCAGTTCTATCACAAGCCACTTTTCTTGACTGGCCCTTCTCTTCTGAATATAATACTAAAAAATCTAGATTATTCCTCACTGACTTATTTCTTCCACATATCCAGTTAGAAGAGCGAATATCTCCCTTTACTATTGGATCAATTGTTTTATCTTCTATAGAGGGAAAACTTAGCAAAGTGCAGAAATCAAATAGTTCTACAGCTGTGTTGACTGACCAATATGAAATTATTTTTGATTATTGGTATTTTCAAGCCAAAATATATTCTCTATATGAAATTTTACATTGTAGAATTTCTTCACAAGGGGAGAAAAACAAAACAGTGTTCTCTAGGCAATTTATAAAACACAGCTTTAACTCTTCTCATTCTCCAAGGTTAGATAATCTCAAACTCTGAAGACAGTTCTATACCTGCTAATAGCCAAGGTCCCTGACCTGTAGACAGACTGCACATGAACTCAATGGCATCATTATGATTGTATTGTTCATTGCTCCATAGCAGTGGCCTTACCATCACCTCAGGACAGAAGGGATAGAATAGTGACAATGTTCAGAGACCACACCTGAGCTGGTAAAATGCTCCGCTAAGCATGCTCCCTCACACTGTGATATCTCAATCTCCTCAAAAGGCTGATGTGAGCTCTAGGAATCTGATTTACCACAGAAATCCAAATGGTATTTTACTTTTAATTTATTATTTATTGGCTCATTGTCTAGCTCCTCCCATTAGAATGTAATGAAATAAGATCAGGGAATTAGTGTGTAACCTCAGTGCCTAGAAAAGCATCATCTCATGCTTTGTGGGCTACAGATATGTGTTGAATGAGGTACTGAATGACCACTAAAACATAACCCAGGCTCTGCTTGTTCTCCATTTCCCTCAGTACAGAGTCTTTTATTCAACTGAACAAGTGTGATTGTTTCATTTTTTTCTCTTCTGTGCTTTTCCATCTTATTCCTCTTCATTCACGAAGCCTTCCCAGCTGTTCCACACCCACAGCCCACGCTGCCTCACACCCAGCTCAAGACGTTCCTCCAGTGGAAGCCCTTCCTACAGTCTCGAGTTTCTCTCCAGTCTTCTTTATCTGTAATTATCTCCTCCTATGTAATGTTTTTCTAACGTTTGGATTTCTACTCACTCATTTCATGTTTGCTTTACAAGTTCTTCACATATTTTTGTTTTCTCATTTGAACAATTAGTTTTCTGAGGAAAAAATTTACTTTCCTTTTCCTTTAGATCTTTTCCCTCTATTTCCACTCCTGGCCAATTATAGCAAATGGCTGCTCTCAGTGGTCACTGGAAAAAAGTTGTTGACTCATTTCTAGTGGCTAAGAACTGAGTCCTTCAGCCAGCATAGCTAGATGACAAAGTTAAACCTGTGGCATTGCCTGTTGCCTTTCTTGCTGATATTTCCATGGTGATGGGGGATTGCATGGTTCTGGGATTAGTAATGGGATACAGAGCCTTTCACCTATTTAAATCACTGGCTTAAATCTAATCTCGTTTGAAATTTGGGCTCCCAGTACATGACATACCATAGGCTCCTTGGAGAACTTAGTTGGTCTGTAAAAAGTTTTTTATTTTTTTAAAATGTCCTTTTAACTACTATCAAGAAGAAAGTTATTTAAGTTCTTAACTGTTTTGTACCTGACAGCAGTATAGAAATGGTGGGAAAACTCTTACTATGTGGACAAACTCCAACCTGACACAGGCTGTCTCTAGTCTTTTACCAAATGCTTGGGATGAAGTGAAGATCTGTGTGTAGGTGAATCAAGGTGTCAGCCAGACAATCAAAGGAACATTTTAGCAATCGACTTAGAGACATCAAGATGCAATGAGAAAGGCAAAAGGAAAGTTATTTATCTATACTTCAAATTTAAAATGACTAGGACTCAATCCCAACTGAGGGCCAGCAACAGTGTATTAGAAATGATTGAAATAAATTATCACTCAGAAGTACAAGAAAAGGCCAGATAATATTTTGACATTCTTTAAGACCTCTTTACAGTTATGCCAGTCTAAAGAATTCTCAGTCTAAAGAAATTAATTGATTCTTTCTTAATACTTTTCCATTTAACACTCAATCTTATTCTGGGGAAGCCCATTAGTGAGATCATTTATTCTCCATAAGTAGATGGTTTATAAAATAATTGGGGCAAATAAATGGTACAATTAACCTTTAAATGAGGATTTAAAGGTCTGGTTAGCCTTGCTTAGGGTCAGGAACATATCTGATGAAGGCTATGGATTCTCTCTCCAGAAGAAGACATACCCCCTCAAAATTTTGCAAATAATTTTAGGGAACTCATGGGTCCTCAGAAGTTCTTTCATGTTTCCCTGGTAAAGAACCACTAAATTAAAGATTTCTAAATGCTAAATGCCAAATATATTACTCAGATATCAAGAATTATTTGTTTAGTTTATAGACAGGCTAAATTAAATCCTAAATTTAGATAGTTGGAAAAGAGAAATTTTAGTGGTAATGTAAATTTTAGAATATATTTGGCAATAATGAAAATAGTGATAATAGTAATAATCATAAATTACCAAGTGCTTGTTTTGTTTTAAGCACTGTGCAAAGCATTTTGTATGGACTACTTTGTTTTAAATCCTTACTCCGATTCTGTGTTATAGGTATTACAGAATCATTGTGCATAAGTGGAAACTGAGGCTTCAAAAGGTTAAAAGACTCACCCAACATTACAGAGCTAGTAAGTAGGGTCTGACGAGATTGGGCACGTTCAGGGTGGTATGGCCGTAGACAGTAAGTAGAGCCTGGACAGAGCAGCGAGTACCTTCACTTTTAAGGTCTTTTAGAAGTTATTGGAAAACATCCTACAGGCAGTTGCCTTTAAAAGAAAACACTTTGATCTTGCTCTTAACAGCCAGCTCTTGATGACAATAACTTCCAAAAATAAAAAATAGCTTCCAGGGACACATAAATCTTTTTCTTTGTTTCCATTCAGTAAGGCTTTATGTTGCTTAGGGTGGTCTGAGGTGAAAGCTTGCCTTCAATCCTGTACTTTTTGTCTTGGACATTACTGTCCAGAAAACAGGATCAACATACCAGTTGGTGCCTGACTGAAGTGGTCAGGCGGTTAGTACGATGTTGCAAGGTATGAGGCAGGAGTGAACACAAGCACATGGCACCTTCTTGCATCAGATTATTTAAACTACCTCCAATCTATGATTCATGCTAATGCCTTACTGTTAAGGTAGTTGATATGTTTGAGACGGCCCTCAGAGCTTCCTTTGAAACACGGCAGCTCCCATAGCATGGAACCAAGGTTCTCCTTTTCCCTGAACAAGGATGAATGTAACTTTTACCCCCATGAACTGTTTAGTTGGTTTAATCCCGATTATATCCAAGTCTGTTTGCCCCACCTGCCCTCACACTCTATCTTGGGCATATAACAAAATTGAAACCATCTCCATGGGGTCCTAAACAGGGCTGGCCTTAAGAGTACACTGAGTGGACAGTTGCTTCCATGGTGCAAGGATGGGCTTTGTGTCCGCAAATGTCACATTGCCCCCAGCACCTGTCACATCAGTGTCATTCTGTTACATCAGTAAGAGATTCTGTCCTTTAGGGCTTATTTTTCCATCTTCCAGTGTCCCTTTTACAATACCAATAGCATCATCCCTACCCTCAGTATAGAACCAGGATCTCTTGGAATAGTTACTGGGGATGGCACGAAGCTGGGAACATGACAGAAGGTCTAAGGCTGAGATCTAGTGGGAGGTGATAAGAGAAAAGCAATACAGTAATTTTTTTTTTTAAGTTTTATACAAGGTCAGATCAAATAGAAACCCTGGGGCTCTGAAGGAAGTGCAGGTTTTTGCTGCATGGAATGGGGGGGATACCAATTCCCTGAGGAATTTTTCTTTTACCTTGAAACTGCTATGGTTCTTGAACTGAGCTCATCTACTGGGGGTCCCAGAGAAGAATCATCAATATGTACCCTGTTAAAGGAAGAGTAAAAGTACATTTTCATTTTTAGATATTATTAAGAAAATACAGTGGTTATATTCAAAACAATGCTAATTTTCATTTTTCTGTATTTTGATTACTTATTATGTAATTTTAAAGATATAGTGAAATCAATACACATAAAATTTTGTTATAAGTTTGGTTTTCATTTGGTGGCTAAACAGTTGTTTTTTTTTAGAATCCTGTAGCACAAAGGGGCTAATCAGATAAATGGTTTCACTGGGCTGATTTCAGCATCAGAGTCAACTAGCCCCCTAGAGATTTCAGAGAGAGGGGTATAACTCTCTGTCAGAATTGGATTCCAACCCACAGTTACAGGTAACTTTTACTTACAAAGAATAAGTTACAGCAATTCCCTCTTATGGTTTTTGCCTTTTCTACTAGAAAGGAATTCTATGGATGGTTGTGGAGAATTAGATCAGTTTAAATAACATCTTCTTTAACAGTACAATACATTCTGCTGATAAATTTAAAACCTATATACACACATACGAACAATCTTAGTCCAGAAAACAAATGCTAATTTTGTGTTGCCTCAAAGAGATATAACTCAACATTTTAGAAAATATATAAAAGGCAAAATAGTCTCTATGGACACTATGCGCAATATCTGGCTTGTAATGAGAATTCAGTAAGTATTTACTTAACAAATGAATAATTGAATGATCAAATATACACTACTCTTAGGATTAGCCAAAGAATAGATTAATCTTGTCTTTCCTCTATAGGTCATAGATATATTTTTGCCAAATTCACTTTCAATTTTGGGGCTCCACTGAGTGATGTTTAATTTGTAAATATACTCATGATAGAATCTGTCATACTAGCTTTGTTGATCTCTAGTTTCATATTACAAAAGTAGAAATTTTTACTCTCTACTATTGATTTCCAATTCAAATTAAATTATGACAGACATGTGGGAAGTTGCTTGTTAGCTTTTGAAAACTACACTCACAACAGTTTAGGAAGGAGATTTAGGTTCACAAGTTCATGGATTTCTAGGCTAATATAAACCTATGGAATAGAAAAGAGTAGAGCAAGAATGGCCCATGAAAAGGCAACTTATTAATAGACATGCCCTGATCACAAGCTAGTGTGATAATATGCTTTATAAATAAAGCCCTCTCTTTTATCTAAAAGTCAATATCTAGGAATCTATCTTATAGAAATAATCAGAGATGTGAAAAAGATTTTTATGTGAAAATGTTTATCTTAGCTGTGTTTAAATTGCCAAAGCATTAGAAACAACATAAATGTCCAACAATAGGGAAGACATTTTATAAGACAGTATTATATACTTTATAAGACATTTTATAAGACTTTATTATATACAAAATCAATGGAATACTATACACTTATTAAAATTCATATACTTAAAGAATATTTAATATTGTGGGAAAAGTGTCAATTTAAGTATGATATTTAACTACATATGACTAACCACTTTTAAAGAATTAAGAGTGACATTTTCTCCCAACTTTATTACAGTATAGTTTGCAATGAAAAATTGTATATATTTAAAGTGTACAAGTTAATGATTTGATATATGTATACTTTGTGAAATATTCACCACAATCAAGCTAAGTAAAATATTCATCACCTCACATAGTTATCTTTTTTTTTTTGGTGTAACCATTATGAAAAACAGGATGAATGTTCTTCAAAAATTTACAACTAGAACTACCTTATGATCCACTTTTGGGTATATATCCCAAGGAATTGAAATCAGTATCTCTAAGAGATATCTGCACGCCCATGTTCATTGTAGCTTCATTCACAATAGTCAAGATACGGAAACAACCCAAATGTCCCTTGATAGATAGAGAAAATGTGCTATGTATTTACAAGGAATTATTATTCAGCCTTTAATAAGAAGACAATCCTGCCATGCGTGATGGCATAGATGAACTTGGAGGACATTATGCTAAATTAAATAAGCCAGATACAGAAAGACAAATATTGCAAGATCTCACTTATATGTAGAATCTAAAAAACTTGAACTTATAGAAACAGAGAGTACAATGGTGATTGCCAAGGGCTGGGGTGAGGGGATATAGGGAGATGTTGGTCAAGGGGTTAAATAATTTCCGGAAATCTAATGTACAACAATGCAACAATATTGTATTGTTTACTTGCAATTTGCTAAGTGGGTAGATCTTAAGTGTTTTCACGACCACCACCGACAACAAAAGAGAACTGAGTTGGACTTCATAGAGCCAAAACTCACAAAGCCCGGAAAACTGGCCTGGCATCTACCTCTCAGGGCTGAGCAGGCCAGCAACCTTGGTGACCTTGAGGAGAAAGGAAAATGCCCAAATGCACAGTAAAGCAGGTAGAAACGGGTGGGGAGAGTTTCTTGGCTTGAGAAGGAGCAGAAATAAAAAAAGACCTATCCATTTACCTGAATCATCCAAGCAGAGGCTTCAATACCTAAGTTATTGTTCTGTCTGCTTGAGACCAAAAGTTTTATTTTCCACTAATTAGAGAGGTGTGACTCCTCAGGAAGGTGAGGCCAGTTACAGACAATAAAAAAAAAAAAAGCTGCTTTTTGTTTGCACAATTGGGTAAGTGAAAAACATTTTGGCTACATTAATTAGCTACAATAACAAAAATCAAATACCTCTGGACCTTAAAAAGTATTATTCTTATGCATATACATGTAAATATACACATACAAATACATATATTTTCTCTAAAAGTATTTGTTCCTAGCATGGTGTATTTCATTGGAGACAGCAAAAGTTCCCGTCTGATGCTCAAGTCTAATCTTTTTCTATTTGAAACTCACTCAAACAATAATGTGGCATTCCATTTCTTTATATCTTGTTTTGAAATCATGTACAGGCCATTGGCTTCTTTCTGCTCAAGGCAGTTGAGTGCAGTGGTTGAAACTTCGTTGAAACCCTGGCCTGCCTGATTAGCTGTGTCTGCTGTGTTACAAGTAGTCAGTGAACATTACGTGCTGTTATTCTGTGAGTGAACTCCTCTGGAATGGAAGAGTAGGATTCTAATACTTCTTGGCAGTTTTAGTTCTATTCTTCACCTTTGAACAGGCATTCTGACACCCTTATTATTTTCTTTTCCTTTTTTCCCTAGAATCATGAAACTTCAGAGTTAAAGATCATCAGGTAACCCCACCTGTAAATTTCATTTACGACATGCCCCGCGGGTACTTGGCCAGCTTCAGCTTACTACCTCCTCATGCAGCCCTTCACTTTCGGCGAGCGTTAACAATTAGGAAAAATGGTGAGGCTGAATTCATCTCTTCGAAACGTTATTTGGTAGTCCAGAGATAGTCTCTTTTCCCAGAGCCACGCTGAGAAAGTGTTACTCCTCTGCAACATGAGAGCCCTTTAAATGTCTCCCAGAAAGGCTGTCAGGTCTCCACTGAGCCTTGTCCTCTCAAGTCTGGATAACTACTCGCCCTGTGACTGGTTTCACCTTCTTCGAGCATTCCTGATTGCTTTCCTGTAAACACATTCATTTACCCATCTCTTTCTAAAAGTGGCTCTGAACCACACAGGCTCTGAATGAAGCACAACAGGTGCAGTCAGAGCAATACAGCTTTAAGTGGGTGTGGACCACTCCCCACCTCCCTTTTCTTAACCACTATACATTTGTTAATTTAGCCCAAGCTCAGATTAATTTAGGGGCTATCATGTTACACACTTGATTTAGACCCCTGTTTCCCTAAATCCTGCAAGTCATGTGTTTTCCCCACACTGTTTACTGTGAAATTCTGTGCAGGGCTCTATTCCTATTACATTTCATCTTTTTAACATTTGACCTTTATTTCCATCTGCTAAGATCTAATGCACTTTCTATCTCTCCAAGTATTGGTCTACTTGCTGACTTAATAAGAATGCCTTCCGTATGCACTTATGTTCCATTGATAATGATAAATGTTGAACAGAAATTGGCACAGGACAGAGGTCTCCTGGTCGACATTGATCCATTAGTTAGCGCCCTTCGAGAAAAGCTGTTTATCCGGTTACAAATCCTCTTAAAGACACAACCATCCGTATTAATTTCTCCTTTTTGATAACAAGACCATCATCAAGAGATATTGCCAAATTCCTTGTTGAAATACAGATGCACAGCATTTACTACGTTCCCTTGCTCTACTAATCAAAAAGATGAAGGAGGAGAGTTGACGCATCGGTTCTTATTATTTTTTCTCTAAGGATTCTCAGACCATTCTATGCGTTCATTCAAAAATATGTATTCAATGTCTGCTATGTTCGACGAACAGAGCTAGGCACAGACATATAGTATCCACGTCCTCAGGGAGTTTGCTGCATTTAAATAATGTATTTTAGATTTTTCTGCAGAAACAACACAAATCTCTTCCCTCATTTTCAAAGTTTAGCATGCAGTCAAGCACACAAAAGGTCCTCAATAAATAGTTGTTATATTGAATTTGGTAATTATTATAACTAACAGCTGTTGAGTGTTTACCTGTGACAGGCATTCCATTAAATGCATTAAATAGATTGTTATTTAATTTCCACAACATACTTTCCCCCCACTCCACAAATGAAGAAACTGAAGCACAGAGTGTTTAGGTAATTTCCCTAAGCCCACACATCTATCAAGCGGTGGAGATGTGGGATATAACCCAGCCACATGGCAATCGAGTCCACGCAGGCTTAACCAATGTACTATAACTGATGGTCTGGTTGCTATGAAGGAAAAGGGTGGTCTCATTTTGCAAGCTAAAAATTCAAAAGCCTCAGAAAAAGTTTTCTAAAAGAGGTTTAAGCAAAAACTAGCAAACTCTGTACTCCCCATCAAATTGGTATTAACTGTTTAACACGTATGTGCACATATAGTAATGACATTCACCCGGTGTCGGGCAGGTGGGGGGGGGAAGGCAGCGGGGATGGGTATATTCACACCTAATGGGTGCTGAGCACACCGTCCAGGGGATGTGGACATGGTTGAAGCTCTGACTCAGGTGGGGCAAAGGGAA